AAAGTTTGATTAAGGACTTGTCCTTTACTTGTAGGTATAATACACAATAAAAATGTAAATATTAATCTTTTTATAAGTAATTATAGTTTATTTTACACAGCAGATAGAATATAATCTATAAGTCCTTATATTATATAGAGAGCTATTTATCTATACTAATATTATAAAGCTGAAGAGTTTGTTTATTTATTTGTACGCGCTTGTCTCGATAAATCGATCGATAAGTTCTTCTTGTGTTGATTTGACCATTATTTGATTATAATGATATGCTGAACGATGACCGTGAAAGCCTTACACAATTTATTAACCTCAGATAGTGTATAACAGAATTTGTATGCTGTCTCTTATTATTATTTAATAGTAAAACATATAATTGTTTAATGATAAAATGCTTAAAATATATTTGTTGGCAGCCCCATGCATTGCACATCCTCGGTAACAACGGAACGGGATTATGCAAAATAAAGCCACTCGCTGTAATATCTTGTAAACAAGGTAACAGTAATTAATAAATTCCCAAAGGATTCGCCATCAAGAAACAATCAACGTGCAAAAGTTTCAGTTATCTCGAATTAACAGACGTTCAAGTGTTCGAAGTTAATCCAATCGCGAGTTGGCGAGTTCGCAACACAATAGAAAGATTAGGGGAATTTCTTCGGAAGCGGCAAGTACATTGTCCGACGGCACAAATTTCGAAAGTAAACTCGGCAAATTAATACACTGTATTGTTCATTATCCTGTCTCAATATTTGTAGCGGATTTCTTTATATCAAAAGGTAAGTAATAAAGGTAGATGTTTAACTGTATTGAATGATCAGATTTTTATTTTATTTTAGAGAGGACAGACAAGTTTGTATTTCACTTGATGGTAAGTAAAATACACCAGCCACATAACGGCTTTGGATATTCGAAAAACCACGGATGAAACCGAGACGTAATCACGGAGTTTTCTGTTGTGGACGATGAAACATGACCCAGACGGAATATGAATATTCCTACCATCCATTTAATATCTAGATTTTCAGCTGAAAATTTATAAATAAAAAAACGACTCGTTGGTTATTAGCCATACTTTGCTACCATTACACCAACGAGCTTTGTATTGCGTTAAGCGCTAGAGATCCCGGGGAAACATAATAGTTTCGAAAAGAACAGAAGTCCGATCATGCCTGTGTAGTTTTTACGTTAATGAACTGCATTTTGAAATAACGAAAGTAGTACAAGAGATAAGTAAACATATCAAAATAAAATAAATAATAAAATGTGAAAGAAAATTGGTTTTGTGAATTTAATTTAAATTAATTTAATTAATAATACGCTTGGTTTCAAGAATTACTAGTCTAGACTAACTTCTGTATTAATAAAGCTAATAGCCTCTTTAGGAATGGACTCCTTATTTACTGACGACGTGGTCTTAAACAACGATCTACAAGAAATATATCCTAATCTCCCTCTCCAGACAAATGTAAAAATCCCGAGAAATTCAGTGACCGGAGCGCTTGTAAGTGCGCAATAAATATCTACAAGCAGCCTCGCACGGCAAATAGCAAATCTACCAGCCATTACTAGAAATTAAGTTAAAAGCTTGCAAGAAATTTGGCACGTTCCTCCTGATAGCCATCTAATGCTCTTCTTGCGATGCACTGCAATTGTTTTTGTTAATGGCTCTGCGGTTTCCGCTTTTATATTCGGTGTAAATATCTGCGAGGCCATTTTAAACGACGTCATTACGTTGTTAAATATTTTTTTACGACAGGACACATAGACATGACGTCTACTTGAGGGAAGGTGAAATAGAAAATAATGCGTTGTTGACTTATTTTTGATGTTCAGAAGCACATAAGTACACAGATTAAACTCGAAGCGAGTTTTAACTGTACGGGTTTACCATCGACGGAACCTAGCAGAATTTTCTACTACCCAATTTATTACTAGATTTAAGAAATTGATTTTGCACTGGATAGGAATCGTACCTACGACTCGTTGGTTTACCTTACTACTACTACCATCTCGTCCTATATTCAATTTATTTTTTTAAAGATGGATAGAAAAAGAATAAAGCTGTAGCTCAATTTTAAAGCGTGACAAATCCTCACAAAACCATTTTTTCTTCTTACAAATTTTGAAAACTTCATTACTTACCAATACATAACGTTATTGCACGAGAGTTGCATGTATCAAGGGCTTGAATACATTCGACGATGACGTAGCTCAATTGTTTACAGCAGCACGGAACGCTGTTGAAGCCGGTTCAAGTCCCATTGTCAAGAGTTTGTTTTAATCGAAATACATTTTTCATTTGCTAACAAATTTCAATTTTAAAATCTAAACTCATGTTCTTAAAACAACAAACACCCTCTCCAGTTTCATATAGACCTAACTTGTACCAAGAAGCAATTAGTGCCAATATTATGAGAACAGTGTTTGTCTTATGCTCAACTTTGCGCGAGGTTCTCCATAACTTGGAAATAGTGAGGCTACGATTTTTAGGATTCTATTGCGCAATATTTATTCCTGAGTGAAACCAATTTCATAATTCTTAGGCAATAGAGTTTATTATTGTATATAAAAGGCCGAGACGCACTTGTTATCCAATTTCTTGTTTAATGCTACATACACTTTTTAACTAAGTTAAACCTTGTATAAGCAGATGACATAACAATTCGCTCTTAGCTAATGTAGCTGAAATTTTTAGTCGGTAATAGGCCTATTTATGATAGAGGATGAGAGAAAAGCACATGGTTCACTTGATAGAAGGTGAAATACCGAAACGCGATTAAACTTCACGGCTGTCCCATCTCTGAACGGTGGGTCATTACTCGTCCTTCCGCCCGTTTAATATCCAGATTTCCCAACGAAGTCCGACGTGTTACGGAAAAAAATTAAACTGATTAGAAAAATGTTACACCCAGTGAGGGCAGGAACTTAAGACCCGTTATATTAACCATATATTGCTGAAATTATCAACGAGCCGAACTGAATATAATATGATAAAATATTACCTACTGTCGATAATAACTTGTTGAGCTTACTATAGATACAAAGGTAAAATATAACAGGTTATACGAAAATAAAATTGTTACTTATACATATTATGTTATTTTTTTATACACGTCACAAGCAAGCATAGGGATTTATTTGAAGGTGGGTGAAATACAATGTAACATCTAAACCAGATGCACTGTCGGCCTATATTGGATTTGGATATTCGAAATTCTACAGACTGAAACCGATACGCGATTAAACTTCTCGCCTTTGGATCGACTTCATCTGTGGATTTTTCATGATGAGGAGAAATAACGATATCCCCACTACCATTTAATATCTAGATTTCCAGACTCTAAATGCCAACATGCTTACAAACATAATAAAATGTTGGACCCGGGGGATCAGAACTTACGACCTGTGAATATTAGCTATACGATGCTACCATTATACCGATGAGCCCATTGCGTAATAAGTGTGTTGTACGTTATGCAGAACACTCGGACTTAAATTATGTCATATATGACGTTGGGTATGTAATTTGCTTACAAAACGTTAATATTAGTATGGCAACATTAATTTTGTATGCCTTCACCGTGTGGCTACACCAGCGAAGTCAATTTAAAGTTTGAGAGTTAATTTATGTTAGTTGCGATAGCGCACACATGCTTTATAACTATTTAGGATGTTTGTTGTGATCGAGATTTTATCTTATACCTGCTCATAGTATGGTATAAGAGAATAAGCCGTGATGGATTGCTAAACTCACAAACAACCGTCACCTTTCCGCATAGTTTAATTTCTATATCAAGAAAAGGGCTGAAATATTTAAATAAAACACTTTAACGGTTAACACATACATATAAAATCTAAATGATATTCGCTATCGACCTATTTTGGCTTTGAATATTCGAAATGTCACCTGTTTCTAATTCTGTTAATATCGAAAAAACCGCACAATAATTGCAGCCTCTTTGAAAGAACATAAAATATTCTAAAGCCAACATTTTGGTTGGATTCTATTTCGGAAGCTCCTGCGGCGACGCTGCGTTCGCCTGTTAAATGACATGTGGGCCACATTTACACCGATACGAACACAAGCAACTGACACATCTTTTTTAATCACGAGTTTTAACTCAGTATATAACATGACGCATAGCAATAAAGATATGCCGTCTACTGAGCATTAAATTAATTGACCTATTGAATAGTTTATGGATGTGTCACTTGTCTAAACTTACTGTAAGTAGTGTAAATAATGTTTATTTAACTATACCGTTTTATTAGGACACTATTAGGCTAAGATTAAATAAAACACTTTTACAATTATTTTAAATAATACATTTTCCAACTCACTAGCAATTAAGATATGTCGGCATAAGATGAGTAATATAATCATAACAATACCAATCAATGTATGGATGTGTTACTTACTGTAAGTAGCATAAATATTGTTTATTAAACGATACGGCTGTATTAAGAGTGTTTAAACAAAACACTTTTACGGTTTACAGTTTGTTACAATTTGGTGTAAATGCGGCACGTCTGTCGGTCTGTCACATGCTATCTGCAAAGTTGGTTTTTTCTATTTGTTTATAGTAAGGAGAGAGTTAGGATGTAATTTAATGTTTTTGAACACTTCAAGTCTATATTTAGGTACAGAATATATAAAAACGATTAATAAAGACCTAGGAGCAAAGTAATTGTACAATAAAGTTTTATTCATTACACTAAAACGTTAATAATTACTTTTCAATTATACATACTTTATGTGTGAGTAGTATTACCTAAAACTTTCGCCTCTTTGGGGTTTACAAATACAAACAACAGATATAAGAAGTCCTTTTTAATCCTTATTGTTTATTGGTTGTTTCTTAATTTAATATACTATTTAGATATATGAGTAAAATTCCTAAATCTTTCGGCTTTGTAGGGTCTACAAATAAATACAATACACATAAGGACTACTTCTGAATCTTAACATTCGTTTATTTTTTTATATTCTTAATCGCTGTCTATCCGTAAATGTAGATGTCGTAATTTATTTCCTTGTTGCTTTCGCTCTTCATTCGCAATGTGACGAAGGGATATCCAATCCCGCCCTGAGTGACATTCGCGCTTGCGCTCGTGTTTGTCAGATCGTATGCTAGTATGCCCTGAAATGTTAGACACGGTAATTTAAACAAAAATGTTATCTGTGGACCGCGGTTCGCGAGTGACCCGGATGGAATTTATATATTAAATATAAATAAATAAAAATAGCTTGGCCAGCGATATACGTGTAGCTTTATTCTTTTATTGGTATCGAACCGAAGGTCGATGTTTATCGAAGCCGAACATTGCTTAAGCTTGTGTGCGGTTTTTGCACTGACGTCAACAGTGGCTGAAGCCGAATGTTTTAACAATATAAGCAAGAGATTGCAGAATCGAATTTTAATTAAATATTGTATTGTGCTTAAAAAGAAAGTCAAGCGTCTAAAATATAATATTAGTACTAAAGTTCTATATGAACAAGCTATCTGAGCTAGAACAATTCAAACGTAGTGAAAAACCGTGGTAAAGCAGTAAAAAGTAATGGGCAATTTATAATTATTATCGTGAATATTAAGTAATTCAAAATTATTCATGCATTGCCGTATGTACGTATCTTTAGCTAAAATTTTAAGATATAGAGAATTTTAAAATAACAGTATTTACTCAATACTCAAATGGATTAGTATTTCGTGTATTTCAGAGAATTTTAAAATACAGCAAAATATTACAAACATCTCCGAATTAAACCTGTAATGTTAGCTTTCGTTGTCAGACAAACATTTTGGCACCAATCATAACATTATATTTTAAATTGTTTGTTCAATTGTTTTCAATTAAATTCGCCATTACATTAAAGAATAACGAGAGAAAAGCACTAGAACAATATATATACATATCGATTGTATTGACTATATAAAATGTATTAAAAATATAAATTATACTGTCGTGCCCTAATAAAAGAAAAGGTCTCTTACACATTGTCTAACTCGCCTATAAAACTACCGTTACAGCGTACCTAATTAAGATAATAAGGTAACATTTTATAGTACTTCCATTCATATAAGGTATATTAAAATCGTTTGTGTGATACTGGTGTAACATAGTTTGACTTCCAAACAAATTGGCTAGATTATCACGCATTTATTTTCTACGTTTGGCTTGATCATTATTTAGCGGCTACAAACAGTTTAGTTTGCAAAATATTGTTCAATTATTTAAAACACGAGTCTTATAAAAGTAAGAATCATGTTCGCAATCAGAGAAACAAAAAGTTCACAAGATATTTCTCGATGTCTCTATATTTGATCATTGCTTTATCATAGTAATCTTAAAAGAGACAAACAAACAGACAGAGAGAGAGACTATCAAAATTTAACTGGAGATAGCTCTCTAGTAATAAAATAACAGCTAACCTGAATTGTGCGTATGTAGGAATACGGCGGTACCGTATATGTAAAGTTTTCCACACGTTTCCTCCACAAATTCGAAGAATACTTGACGTTCTTGTGGAATATTAATGGCCGATAGACATTTGTACCCATAAACGTATGATTACATTCCACAAACACTACAATAGCAATTATAAATAAACACAATAAAGACTTCATGGTAAATTTTAGACGATGAAAAAGAAAACAAAACGTAACGCATCGAAGCGAGAACGTGTAATGTCAATATTCGCTTTTCGAAAAATGTGACGTTTTGTTTATATAGTCTGTAGTCTAAGTATAATGGCGGGAAATGAGACGTTTTTATCGCAAATTAATTAGTACATATTAATTGGATGACTAACGTTTAATTTGGAATTTTAGAAGTACGGTAAGATTAATATCGAAAGCAATTAAAATGTCATTGAATATAATTTGGCAAAGGTGAAATTGGCCTTTTACTTACTAGTCTAATTCATACTGATCAAATGTAAATGTCTGTAATAAAATATAATTAATTTTAACAAAAAACAAAACCGCGAAAGCAATTTAAATAAAAAAATATGCTTAGCACAAAGTAAGATAATATTATTTAAATTAAGTTAAATAGAAATGATTTATTTTTCGTGTGTGACATGGGCATGGGCTTGGGGCGAACACGTTTTTGCGTCCGTTTCACTGATCTGTTCTTAAACAGGCAAGTAATTGATCAGACTTCTGTGCCCTGCCCGACCGAAACAATATTTAATATCCCTGGGATTCGAACCCTGGACCTCTCGGGCTTATCGCAATGCATTTTATATTTGACGATTTATTTTTTTAACTCAAATAAAAATTCTTTTACTTTTATCTAGATGTTAAAATAGACGTGACTGAATAGCCAACTAACAAATTTGGTGTCAAATTAGCAAAACTTAAAACAATTTAAGGTAAAATATATCTTAATTTCGCTTAATACCTAACAGAAACACAAGTTCGGTCAAGTTAACAAAAAAAGATCGAAAAGGTAAAGTAAATAAAATTGGCACACATCACGATTGAATATCAATAGTATTTTTTTTTAATTTTTTTTTTTTTAAACGTAACTTGGACACATCCCTAAAATTGTTTTATGCTCATCATTTGTCTAAAATTGTGCTCTGTCATCAATATGCGTTTGAATCCAATAGGACAAAGAATTTATCCTCTTGAAAAATGTTTTCTGTTCGTGTCAAAGAATTCTATGTTTGTTAAAAAGGCGCCAATTCGTCGTTTTGTCAAGGTAACCGAGAAACGTACGTGATTTATGAAGGATAAGGGGCCTTCTGAAAGTAGTTGTACTGTACATCACCTGTTAGTATAACTAGTTGACCCGACGAAGGAACTGTGTACGGAAATTATAATTTAAAAAAAAAACCTTAAGTATATGTCGTATTTTTACTTTAATTCATGTTAAACTAAGAAAATATTGATCCACAGATAAATTTAATTCAAAAATATACAAAGGTCTTTCTATATCTGTGTTACAGGTTTAAAATACCAACCATTAAATTACTTAGCCCTGAAAATCTACCGCATACGTTTTACACAGCCTTCACAGAAGGGAAGTGCAATAAATAGTCTGAAAAGGACATTAATATCTCTCGCATAATATATATTTTCCTTACTGTTTATCTGTGTCGTAATTTTTCAATTTTCGCGCCATATGCTCCGTGATACAAGACGTGGAAATCAAGATGGATGGACGGTGGTGTTATGTGTCACGAGAAAATCCGGAAATGGTTTTTGGTTGAATGGATTCGTGTTGTCTCTAACACGCTGTCTTATTTTATGTAAATAACAACTCTTTATTTGTTTCGTACCTATATGGTGAAATACTGCGTATTTAAAAAAAATTGAGAAAGATAAATGAGATTTACATTAATAATGCAGTGGAATTATATTAGTGTGTTTAACTAACACGTTTGACATTTCTTACATTAAACACTTTTCACTGTTCCCTTTAATTGCTCAACTCTAAAGTGTATAATATTACTGTCACCAACTTTAGTCTAGATTTTAAATAAGAGAAACTTAATAAATCCTAGACAAATCATTAAATTTAATAATAAGTGATAAATTAAACTACCCATTATATCTGTTCTGTTACTTTTAAGTAATTGTATAAATTAAATATGGGGGAACAAAGATATTTATTTAAAAAATAACTAGGATTATTGGGATAAAATTTTGCACCTATTTTATTTTTAAAAGTTTAACAACTACAATGTATAATAATGTTATATTTGTTTTCCCTTAGATTCCTTCCATTTACGCTGTAGTCATAATAATGTTAAAATTAACTAGATTCCTAATATCTTTGATCACTATAGATCGAATAGCAACAACTCTGAAATTTGAAATTCTAATCAAGAAATTGCTGATTTAATTAAATTATAAGGAACAACGTCAAAGTACATAATTAAATATTTTAAAGCAGAATGATACCAAAGTGTACGTAATCGTTATTAAATTCCAATTATCTTAAAAGCCATCTGGCCCCTACTAAGATTCTAGTATGATCAAAGTAGGAGTTGAGACCACTGACTGATATAATATTGTTAAAGTATGAATTATTAATACTCTTGTAGACGATTAGATCCGCTCTCCTACTTACATTATAAAAATTGCCTACCTGCAGTAGGTTTTAAATATTCTATGTATGTATATGTCAAGATTTTTTTTCTAGATAACCTGCTGTAGGTTTTTTGCCTTTGTCTACTAATCTATACAAATATATAAAGCTATAGAGTTTGTTTGTTTGTTTGAACGCGCTAATCTCAGGAAGTACGGGTTCGAATTAAACAATTCTTTTTGTGTTGGTTAGAGCATTTATCGAGAAAGGAGGTTATAACACATTGCGTTGTAACTAATAGGAGCGAAAAAACAGCAGGAAATGTAAAAAAACGGGGGAAATTATTTATCTTTGTGGGTTTCCGATGCGTACGCTGCGAGAACAGTTTTAGACACCCAAAAAATATGTATTAAAAATGATTCCTCTTTAAATAATCTAAAAAATGTACCTGTCACTATTATATGTCTATCTTGTAAGATAACCTTGCAAGAACGACGGGACCCGAACGACTGGACTCGACCGATGTCGTGGGTAACAGCTTTAGTTTATAAAGATGAACTGGTGGCTTGTGAAGGAAATTTGGATGCCCAAAATAACTATTCTACGCAGACGAAGTCGCTGACACAGCTAGTATTCAATATAATGTAACGTCAGATACATTTAAAAAAGTGCAAACCAGTATATATATTTTTTTTTAATTTACTAATCTGTAGTTTAGTTTTTAACATCGTTGTATATACAGATGTATTCAACTTTTATGTTATGCCTCTTAATCGCACCCAAAAAAATCTAAATGACATGAAATTATATCTAGGGCCTCTCCAAGTGGGGTCAAGTGATATTGATCTTAAAGCTTCCGAGATCCACGAAAATGTAACATCCCGTTTTGACGTGAGGGCCCTCGAACATCTGACACCCGCTGGCTGCATCCTGTTTCCGGTGCCCTCGAAGGCTTCACAACTAAGCTGAATTATAATGACTGGTTTATAGGCGTATTATTGTTTAAAAGATTTCTTTAATGACCAGGCTGCCAGGCACTGATATGAATTGCTCTTTGAAAGAACAAAAATGTATTAGTTTATAAGACACCTTGAAAAAAGCCAGACTGAGTTTCTTAAGCGTTCTTCTCGGTTATGATGCTCTTTTACATACTTTATAGAATCACGATGAACGGACAGACAAACATATTTTTTGACGAATCTAAATAATTTTTATAATAACAAAACAGCTATATTTCTAATTCTTTAAAGATACACATTTAGAATTTCTGCATATTTATTTATTTACAGTTTATTGCACAAAAAATACAAATAAACCTTATACTAGCACAAACAAAATATATAACTTAAAAATCTGTGTCTTATAACCTTATTTAATACTAAACTTAAATTATAGATTTTATAAGACTGGAAAAAAATGGGACATTTACCCATATAACATTAACATAAGACGCGATGTCAGCATATTTTCAGTTTGGACGTTCGGAACTCCACAGACTGAAACCACTTTTCCATCTATGGACGTTATAAGACGTTATCTGAATAGAACCAGCAGCCTTTAAGTTTCCATTTGTATAAGATTCATTAAAACTATCCTTAATAATGTTAAAGGGTAATTTTTTGAGAACGCCACTGCTAAATAAAAGAAACATCGATTAATAATTTAACTAAATTAAATCAAATAAAAAATATATATTTTTCGATCCATCAGTAGCCAACTAAAAGAGTCTGTACCGCTTCGTACAAACAAATATATCGTCGCCGCCTCGTTTTGATTTTGTTGTTGACTTTGATGTACTCACTGTAATGAGAGAAAAATCAATTATAAAAAGACGAATAATGATTGCTAAACACAAGTACTCAATAATTATAATTTGAAGAAATAATTCTTAAAACATTTTAACAAACACTAAAACCTATTTCAAATAATTTTTAGAATACACACCTATACAGTCATAAACTGGACGATAATTTTTACTTTTCTTAGAAATCCTTCTGCTCTTCTTATGTATTTTCTCTCGCCTTACTAATCTTGGATAAATTAAAGCCAATTCAAATTGATTTAGACGCTTACTTAAGTTTTTATTTCCTAATATAATTCGTTGCCATATTTTACAGACTCGATTTGCTATTACGAGATTAGCGTTGCTGAGGTACCTGAAAATATTACCTTCATATATGAGGGCGCTAGAACCAGAGTAGCCTAACTGTAATTTTGTGACTTGACTTATTTTTATAGTCTAAAAATGCAATTCTACAAGAGCAAAGTGACTGAAAATCGTTAACGTTAATTCTTACACAAATAAAACAAATAGTACATTTTTATTTTCTTCCTTATTGAAAATCATGTTTTTGTTATTAGGCCATTCTGGCTCTAGCAGCCTCATTTTAAGTACGTACAAAATATATTTGTATTTAATAAAAAAATAAAAACAGAATACAACTTACGAGAATATTTTCCAAGATAACTCCAGTGGCAAGGAAGAAATAATATCACGTCGCGTCTCCGGAAATATTTTAGTGCCAAAAACAAAAACTGTCCCGTACATTATTTGATATTTTACGTGATGTTATTCAAGTTCCTCTTGTATTATGCGGGTAGATGTAAATTGCGTTATCTTTCCTAGTGTTGAAGGTTTTTGCCGAAGTTATATGCTAAGCTACATGTAGTAAAAATTAAAAATATTAACTCATAACATGTTTTAGTAGGAGGTTTGTAGAATAAAATACCACATGCTTGTCCACATGCTAATGTCACAATATTTTAATCGATAGTATCTATAAAGGAAAATGTTATCTATATATTATCATAAGAGAACTCAGTTTTCCTTTAAAAATGTTTTATTAAAACTGATTTGCGTTCAACATACCCGAATATAACGCAAAGTTACTTAACGACTTCTTAACCGACATGTAAACAACATGAGAAAACGATACATTAAAATAAGTAATTCGGTTTACTGCCATCTCGTGAAATTTTTAAGAACTCGTTTGTCATATACGGTTAATTAGTCTGCTTGCCATATACAATAATGCAAATTAAATTTTCAGAAAAAGAAAACAACCAATTTATATAAAACTGAAATTTAATAATATCGACGTCTAATTTAATATATAAAACGTTATATTTGTCCATATTTTTTTTAAAGAACTTGACAGACTTTCTCTTAGTTTTTGTGTATGGTAACACTATCCAAATCAACAAGCGGCGGAACGTTTGCAATTTTGCAAATATCTCGGAAAATTATTCCATTTATCATTTTTACCGTTTTAGTCTTCTTTTTCTGATAACAATTATGAATGTTATATAATGTTTTACTGCCAATTATAATTTGTGCTTTTAACTATATAAATCTTCAGATTTGTGTTAGTGACAGATGTTACAGTGATAATACGCGCCAGTTTAAGAAAGTCCGTGAAATACGTTTAATTCACGGATAACTTCACCTAGAACTGCAGTGCAATGGCCTCTAACCCCGACCAAAAAGGTAATTGAATGATTTTTCAAGATTCCCGTTAATTTGTTCAGCTCTATTGATAACATGACCAATTTGGGAAGGTTGATGTCAAACATTTATCTTAGGTTTTTTACTGTTTATCGACTGAATTGTCATGCTGTTTGACCAAAAATAGGGGGACCAGATATAAGGGTACCAATAATACATAATAAATACTGTAGAAAATATAAACAAATGCATACTTTTTATAATATTCTTGTTAGTTAATTTGTGTGTAATAAACAGTTCTTTTACAAGTTTCATTACATATATATTATTGCCTAAAGCTTTAAAATAATTCTCATATATGTCTTAGATATAATATTATTTATTTACATTTTCTAAATACACAAACAAGTTAACAAAATGTTTGTTTTGAGGTTATACTCTGTTTGGCAATGACAAGCTTCTGTTACTATGTTCACTCTGTTCAAGAAATCAATAACTTGGAGGTCCTTCTGTTCAGATCATTAATATAATTGATTTAATGCAATGAGTACTTCATTATTATTATCTGCATGTTGGCAATGATATGCTGTTGCTAACTGCAAGATTCACTTCAACTTGTATATGAAATCACTTTATATGTAAAAAATTGAGTTATTGATTAAAACTTACATTTTGATAGAAATACATTTTATTTATCAACTTAACATTAACACATATTTATGTGTTAACATTAAGTTTAAGTTATGATGCTACAAATTTAGCTTTGTTCTGATTAATAAAATTTATTAGCATTCAAAATAAATTTAGAAGATACTTTTAATTGAATGACCAAATTTTAAGACAATCTTTGCTAATATCCTACATATACTAAGTACATATAATCTGCTACATATTGTTATAATAGGAAAAGGATTAAAAAATTTACTTCTATAAGCTTCATGCTATAAATACCTGGATTACTTATTAAGTACTTACTACAGTTTCATTGAGCATGCTTGTTTTTCTTGTGCCCTAAACATAAGACTGAGTTCAGTTTTGAGTTAAACTTGCTGAATTAATTAGAATAGAGCTAAAATTATAACCTAATTTTTGAATTGATTGATTTTTGAAATACATATTTGCATGACATTTTTTTATTTACTGTAAAACAATGTCACATATAATTTTTATGTTTCATTATACCTAGTTTTGCCCTTAATGTTGTAATGTATTGTAGTGAGAGAGTTAATATATTTTATTTTCTGGTTAGCAGTATGTATTCTAGACAATATGTATTACAGATGATCAAGTATATCAAGTAACAACAACTGCTGATACCTCACAAAATATTTTCCCGGAGAGCCCAGTGTATGAGCCAGAAGGGGATGTAATTGGAGAAATTGACTCAGAAGTATGTTTTATTGTACTTATTTATGTGTGAAGAATAAATAAATACTAGTACTTATATACTGGCTATAGTTTACGCAAGTAGTGCACAATTAAATAAAACACTTTAATGGTTTAAAACGCGACATATATACTAGTTAAACTTATTTGAAAATGTTTTTTAACTTCGGCCCAACATTTCAGAATTCAGATGCTTTGCAGGCTCCATTAAAGTGTTTTATTTAAACTGCTACTTATAGGGACCATATTTATTTGTCTATGTTTCAAAGTATGGTTTATATAAAAAAAAATATTTTCTCTTCCAGGTAAAGGATGACATTAACATTTTAAATAAAGTGCAAGGTAAAGAGTCAACCAACACTTCTGAAATATAATATATAAATTTCTTATTAAACTTTGTATTATTTCACAGATGACATACCTACTGCTCACCCAAAACGAAAGCTATCTGAAGAGACATGCGATAGCATTGCTAAAATACAAAAACTTGACTTAAAGGAACGCATAGACCTGGCTACAACTTGGTGTGATACGCAGTCTTTAGACGATGAGGTCACGAAAATAACTAGTGTCGCTAAGAGAAAATTGGAAGACGATGTACCGTCTACATCACGGGTTCGCACCCCAGTAAGATCTAGCCCGCGAAAACTGAAAAGAAGTAACAGTGCCGAAGTTACTACTCCTAAAACACCCAAAACACCAAAGGTTCGCTCAGCCAGTGTGGATGTTACAAAAAGGGGTAGACCAAAGAAAGGTCCAGTGGAATTTACCAAAGAGAATGATATTGTCAAAGTTGAATCTACCAAGAAGGAAAATTCTAGCAGACCTAGTGTCGAATTTGTGAAAGAAATTTTCCCAGAAATAATTCCTGAAGAGAGTGCATCAGAATCACTAAATGACTCCCAAAATGTACGTCTAGTATTTACTCCATCGCCAACAACGAATGTAGACGAAAAGATAGAAACTACAAATTACAGCAGTGAACCGATCCTTGTTACTGATAGAAAAGAAATTGTTGCTCCTGCTGAAATTACTAAAGCAAAGAGTGAAGGATACGATTCTGCGGACTTTTTGACGAACTCTATAGGCAAGGAAAAAGGCAAAACTACAGACCAAGAAAGCACTGACAGCATAAGTTCCATAGGTTTGGATAGCCCAGAACATTATCCTACAGTCACTTCGAAGTTGATCTCGAAATTATCCAATGGCAACTCTTCAACACCAACTGACACGACTGTAGTAAAAAATGGATCTACTGACAATATAACTCCTGACTCTGCAAAATTTAATGGAAATAAGGGAAAACGAGGGAAAAATGAATTTTACAGACCTAATAGCACCACAACTCCATCCACAATATCCCCATTACAGAATGGGCATTCTATTCCTATAAGTACCCCGCAAATACCCATGTTCGATATTCACGTATCGCATAATGAAGATAACGAATTTCTATCTCTGTATGTCGTGAGAATGGATAACGATATCGGTATGGATATGTGCAAAGAGTACCAACGTATATCGAAGCGTTTTACGATGGATCCTTACATGGGTGATATCTCAACGAGCAATTCTCCATCCAGTGTTACCAGTGGGGGACTTATCAACCTTCCTAATAGGACGTCCTTTGCTTCTACAATCAGTTCCACCTCCACATCTAGTAACAGAACTAGTGATGGTAATTTCGTCGTACCGCAACCCCCACGTAAGTCCGTATCAAATCCATCAACGAGTGTTAAAGGATATGAAGCATTAATGAAGAAACTGCAAGAAATTTTCGCACATATTAAAGATTCGTGTGATGATGGTAGTAACAGGTCTTTGACTGACGATAAAGTGTCAATAGGAGTGCAGACGTCAGACCCGCTTAGCAACGGCAGTGCAAGTCCGGAAGAGGTCGGAAAATTGGATAAAGCAACACCCAAAAGCTCGTTGAAAAAATCGAGAGTACGTGGCAGACGGCCAATCGCTGGGAAAACTAAACGGGCTTTACTGCCCACCCAGCACGAAGAAGCTGAGTTTTCCTTAGTAAACTCTCCCGAGCCTACGACAAATGGGGACAGTGGCAAAATGTCACCCAAATCGCCCAGGGACTCCAAAGACGAGAAGCCATTATCCAGCCTGGTTGGAACGCCCAAATCGGTTACGAAATTGAAAAAACAACGTCGTCCAACATCACCACGCCCAGCGACACCTGTAGAAAAAATAGTCACAAAACAGGAGTACCCAGGGTTTGCACCAGACACAGTGGTGTTAGCTAAATGGGTTGACAAACGCTATTATTCAGGGAAAGTTCTAGAGATCACAGAACCAAATAAGTATCTAATTAAATTTGATGATGGACAAAGCAAAGTACTTCTGGATGATTTTATTATATTTGGTGATATGAAAAAGTTGCCGTTACAAGGACAGTCAGTGTATGCAATGGTGGATGAAGACCAAAACTATGAGCCCGGCTTGGTGTTGGGAGTAGAGGAAAATAGTAGTGGCACTGTTACATACAAATGTACAACTGATGGGTGAGCAGTTTGAATATTCTTCAATCCAACTTATGTACTCCTGTTTTACATATGCTTATTATTTCAAATATACATTTATATTTTCATTTACAGGGACACGATAGTTATAGTGACTGCAAGTGAGCTATATCTCACAGAGGACCAAGCGCGATCGTTGAAGGAATCAGCTAGACCGAGATCACCGACCACGCCGACCACTCCGAGACGGCGGCACAACCGCGAACTTGATTTAGATAACATTATACAGGTGAATAATACGCATATGCAACAACTTAAAGAATCTTATAAGAATAAATTTGAAAGAATTTTTCTTAATATTCGTTAAAAAAATGTTTTACGTAAGTAGGATTGAAAAATTGTATGGTAAATAGGTGACTTAACGCACTATAATGCTTTAATACATGTTTATATAACAGGGACCCCGTAGCGCTCGGACTCGAGACAAAGCTGCTAATTCGAGTGCAAGGAAACGTGTTGCGTCTCCAAAGAGTCCAAAAGCATCAACATCCGGTATTTTGTTATATACATATAACCTTCTCCGCTACATACAAATTGATAAAAAAACAATACCTACTTATTAAACTTAATCGTTGATACTCCATGATACTAAAAATGTCTAAAAAACTAAAAACTGAGAAAGGAGAGCTAAGAATTAAATATTTTCGCTTATCAACGACCTCAAGGTTATTAAAAATCCAAAAGTTATGCTTTTTTATATAAACAAATAAATGCTTAGTGTTAATATTTGATACTTATTTATAGCTTCAAGCTAAACAAGTACTTAAATCTCGCGATATTTTTTAGAGCGTATACTAAAAGCTAACATAACTTCATTATTCTTATCTCAAAGGATTGAAATCGAAAAACACGCCCATCGCCGGTCGCAAACGCTTAGCCAGTGAAAGCAGTGAAATGAGCGAGAGTAGCAACTCAGCGCCCCCTGTAAGGTTAGAGGAGGTGGCTGGTGTAGAGCCGGAAGTGCAGAAGACGCCTAGAAAGATTGACGGGGTGAAAGGTTAGTACTTAGTATAAAACGAGCGATAGATGGCGCTTAACAAAAATATGACGTGTTGAAACTAATCGCAAAAATGCTCAACAGATGTCGTTAAAGACAAAGAATATATTATTTTAATTTATACGTTTTCATAATAATTTCCCTATATAATTTTCATCTGTATACACATTAACTACAGAAATAATCCTGTAAGTCAGAACAATTTTTTATATAAATTAAAATTTTGAATAAGCGCAATCGTTCACTATCCTTTTTATGTGTTTTTTTTTTAAACTTCAAAACACATTAAGTGAACCAGATATAAGTGGTTTTTAGATGAATTTTTACTAATTTGACCCTAATTTCTATTTTTTAGCGGGGCCATTGCAGCTTAAAGGCGCAGCCAAACAAAATATAGGCAAAAAGAATTCAAAATTGACCAAATTCGAGAACGATGAAGATACAGTTTCGACTCTGGGACCCATTCCTACTACTGGGAGCACTATATTTGCTGGACTTCACTTCTTGTTGACTTGTACAGACCAGCCGAAACCCTTGAGAGGCAAGAGCTCTGAAAAGGATAGTGAAAGGGTATGATTTTGGTGATTAATTAGAGTTTTTATTAATATTTCTTATATCTAATAATGGTTTATTTTTAGAACCAAGAAACAAGGCACTACTCGTCTGAAGAAGACGGTGAGACCACGTCGTCTATGATTGGAACAGACACGGAAGATTTGGAGTTCTGCGACCGGCCTTTTAACAAAGAAAGGTTGAAGGAACAGTTAGAGGCTAGTGGTGGAATTGTCTACAGGTGAATACTAAGACATGCATGTGAATGACAATAAATATAGCGTCAATTACTGTTATCAGTATTAACTATTAGTTTACAATTAGTAAAACAAAACATCATCACACATTTTTTTTTAATCCGCAACCTTTTTAAACATTTGTCACGTCGCAAAAACACTCCTTTATGATGACGTCACTTGCTTATAAACAGTGCTATAGACCATCGTGCTTCCTAGTGTTAAAATTTGTCTATTCTCTGCATTGATAAATTTATTAATTAGTTTGTAACTTATTTTATTTCCTTCATTAAAATGTGAATGTTTGTAGATTGTAGACTAATGATCGACATACAGCAAAGTTCGTTACGTCAGTAGCCGTATTGCAGCGTAATTTCGCAAGATTAGCGTTTAGGCACGCAATGAAAATGTTGGATAGTAATATTGCATATATGTATCAGAATTTGAGAATTCTACTTTTCTGGTGTTTCTTAACATCTACCAAATAATATAAAGTACATTTTAAAAAATCAGTCAAATAGCCCATTGTGTCTAAATCTTTGTTTTTTTTTCTAGTGATTTCGAAGATGTTCCTAAGAACAAGTACTCCGTGTGCAAATTGATTGCACCTCGACCATGCCTCACTATGAAGTATATCCTGTGTCTTGCGGCGGACATCCGAGCGGTGTCCCACGCGTGGGTCATCATGAGCTGCGGCGCTGGACGACTGTTGGACATCGACGCCTATGTGCTGCCCACTGGACTGGCTATAAATAACAATACTTATGTTAACTGGGTGAGACAACGAATTTGTGTTTACCAAAAATAAAAATATATATATTATTATAATTAATAAAAATAAGACTTAGTTAAAATTTGAGACTTAGTCTTAGTTTATTTAAAGGTTTAATTATTATATATTAAATATTATAAAGACTAATTATAAAAAATTGGCATCTATTTGCCAAACCAATCTTCAAATTTAATTATAAAAAGAAAAATATTAGTTACTAAAATATATCTTCCCAGGTTCCATCAACAGGCAAACGAAGCACCACCTTCTTCAAAGAAAAGGTTATTCTCATATGTGGCGATCAGGACACATTTGTTAAGTTCTGGGACCGTGTATGTTCTTTAGCTGGAGCGACTACGCGAGTTGTAAATGAAGAGGATTTGAACATGTCTGGGGCATATGCCCTTGTAACAGACTGGGATTGTCCACATGAGGTTAGAATTATATGTTGTATAAAATATATTATATAATAATAATTACTTAATAAATTGGAGACCTAATTTTTATTTGTATCTAACAATAGTCAAGTTAAGTAAACCATTGTATAGTAATGTTAAAATATGGTTACAGGTTCAAAACAAAGCAAACCAAGACAACATTCCACTTGTTTCCACCACTTGGGTGAAGCAGTGCCTGATAGAGGGTAAGGTCCTTCCACCCACTAGCCACGATCGATTCTCGTTCATGTATACGGAGCCCGAATGATCCTGGGACTTCCGAAAGGTGCTCATTATACGTGAATTTTGACACTGTTGAGTGCTGTGCGGTGACACTTAGTGATTGTAAAGTGATAAGTGACATAAGTGGTTCGTGTCGATCCTAGTCCCAACTGTGGGAACTATTGAAAGGTTCTATGTTTAGTAACTTAAGACAAAGTGCTGGAATCAGTCAAAACTTTCTATTTTATATATTTCAATGTTACTTTTCATTTGCAGCTATTTACTACAGAATAATTTTATTATTGACTCTTTGAGCCTTTTATTCATATTTGGTCAAATACATACTCGAAGTATTAGTACAATATTACTGATATTTTCCAATGTATGTCTTAGTTGTACGCTATTAATATTTATTTAGTATAAGATAACAGTGGTAGGTGATCTCTAGTTTCGGATTTTGCTCTTAAAAATGTAATAAGCATTTGTAAGATAATTTGTCATTCCGAATATTTAGGACTTATACAATATTTAAATCATCTTATTTCAATGAAAGATTATTAAAGTTGTTAAAACTATTGATATTTGTCAAACAATTATTAAAATGTATAACTCATAATAAGTTCTAATTGTCTAATATTTTAAAACGACTGTAAAAACCATTGAAAATAACAGTTTATTAATTTAAGAATATTAATATGCCTAACTTGTAAATAAATCCTGTTTAAAAATTGTAAACTAAAGTCTTGACTATTAAAATTTAAAATCAAAATCAAAATTGTATTATTATTGAGTAATCTATGAGAAAAGTAAAAGGTATGTTTAAGGAAATGCATTTAATGTTTCTTAGCTGACTGACTTACTTTGTGTCTGATTTAAATAATCTTGAATTGTGGTGAAAAAATACATAGTTATTAAATCTACAATTTGTTCAAAAATAGTTAATAGGGCTTAGTCGTTAGGTTAGCTTACGTATTGTCTAGCATAGTGAATATAAAAATGTGTTTTGTGCAATTACATTGCAACACTATAGAATTCTGGTATTTGTGAAATGGTATGGAATTAAGCAAGGGTGGTACTATTATATCTATTTGAGGATCTACCTCCTAATTAAGATTTAGGTAAGAAATTGAAGAATTGTATAAATTTGAATTCGGGGGATATTATATGACTTGTAATTTGTATTATATCTAAGTGTATCTGACTCGATATTCAAAATTATCATGCCCTGTTCAAATGTAAGATTAAATCTTAATATGATCTGAATTGTAAATATTGCTTGACTCTATACTAAACTTAATAATGTTTAATCAATCAGTCTTGACGAAAATAAAAATAACATTTTAATTAATGTATCAATTTATTTCCCAAATATTTATTATCGTTTATCAGAAATCGGAAACAAACAATTCTTGCTGGCTCTTTGTGATAATTATGTATATATAAAAACAGCATATTACTAATATATACTTTTAGCAACCACTATATTTTAAACTATATTGTGACAGTTGATGGAGGCTGCAAAATAAAGAAAAATGTATATGTATGATATATCTTATTTATTTTCAAGTACCAAGTCTGATGCATTAAATATATATAAAGTAATTGTTTATAAGTATGTATGTCTTATTTCCGTAATACAAGCTGATTTAATTTGATTTTAACTTATGTAGCGATAGAAACAAAATGGTTCGTTGACTGTGGTATATTACATGGCTTCGTATTATACGTTTGTAGTTATAGAATAGGTGTCGTGTATGTTGTGTGTTTGTGTAGGGCTTCTGTTGCGATTTTTTCTACTTTTGTTGTATCAAGGTGTTCTCTATGTTGAGGCAACTGTTAGATGTAATGTGTAAACTATGAATAAATTAATAGAAATAATAATTGACTATTTTTATGATAGAAGATTCACTTGGCTCACTTAAGAAGGATGGATTCCCCCAGCCATGTAACATATAAACGATTTGTGGTCTCCACCTATTTTGGTATTCTGAAATCCACCTGTAGAAGATTGCCTGTGTCTCGGACAGAATTTCTCTATATCTCTATCAGCCACTTAAATTAAAATTTCATTTCTAGTATAAAATTTTCTATTATAAAATTTTAGTAATAGTTATGTACCTAATATTGGTGCCAAACCGCGTTACTTGTACCTAATATTGGTGCCATACCGCGTTACTTGTACCTAATATTGGTGCCATACCGCGTTACTCTTCTCATGTCGATAGTGTTAATAAAATCTTAAATTTTGTTGTTAGCCAAAGACTTGAATACGCGTCCTCTATTCTAGGTCCCCAACAAATTATCAGCCTTTACTGCTGTCACGTATTCGTCTTTAAATTGTAGAGCGCGGCGCTGTCCTCAAAAATAAAGTATTTAATAAGCCTGCAGTGTTTACACATATTCTACAGTTTAATCAATGTTTTAATAGTCGAAATATATTTTTAAGTCACGGTTAAGTGAACCGGTTATTAAACTTTAATTAGCCTAAATAATATATAAAATCCCTTTTCTCGAAAACAGACTTCCTTCTAAGAGAATTTATATTACTGATTAGAAACTAAATGTATCTAATAGTGTTATTTAGTAACAACAGTGCGTTATGTTTTAAATTATTAAGCATAAAAGAACTAATTAAGGAGTATACCTAATTAAGTAATATAGACAAATGTGTTTTGAATATTAATAGTTGTTAAGATAATCCTATTGTAAGGTATATTACATTAAAATCACCCTGTACGTAAAACAGGTGGATAAGTAGCAATTAGCACAAGAGTTGCGGGATTCGAAGCTAGGGGAAACAGTTAACAGAGTCTATGGTTTAATCTTATTCTGTGAAAGCACAATTATATGTCCGTCCTTGTCCCACTAAGAAGAAACTGAATTTAAGTACATTTGACGATTACAAGACGCTCGACATTCGAAAAAAATTAAACAATAGGCAAACTTCATGGAATTTTCCAGTATTTTCGTCATTTCTATACGCAAACGAAATTTACATACAATCGTCTTTAGAATTCCGTATAAAAACACCTACATAATTATTTATCGTAAGAACAATGAGACGGTCGTTCTGACCCCTGGGGGTGATATGATGACTCCTTCAGAGTGTATCGTTTAACCCTAAATGCTTTTAGGGCCAAACTGAAGGTTACTCATATAAAAGCGAAGACAAAATTGCTCTTTCCACAGTTCGAGGCTAGCTATGGCCTGGTTTCATGACCTACGTCAAATAACCCGGATTATGGAAGAGGAAAAGTGCCAGGATGCAGTGTTTTTGATAAGCTTTAGTGGATGTTTTACAAAGCGAAGTGACATTGAGAAATATTTGGGGGGCAATTCTCAACTGAGCGACAAATTGTTACCTCGCTATTAGTAAGAAATAATGTGCGATTTGAATGAAACTAGTTAATCTGAATCTATTATCAGTTACAGATAATTGCCCCCTTTTGCATATAGTGGTAAAACCAACGAATTACCCGCTATAACAAGATATAGTGAAGTAAAGGGTGATATTTTAGTGATAAGTTCGCATTAGTTATTAATTAGCTTCTTCACCTGTAGGTAGCCACTTAGGCGTATTGTATAATATTAGAAAAAATATCCTTCTTCCATAGAAAATAATTTTAAAAAGTATACTTTATACGTACCGCCTGTATATCTAAATGGTTATACGTGTACTACCATTGCGCTAAGCGCAAGAGTTTCTGGATTCAAATCCCGAAGTAAACATTATTCTTTCGGTCGGGCAGGGCACAGAAGTCATATCTAACGGGGGGAAACGGGTTTTCACTTTTTTTATACTCAAACAAGTAAAATTTTCCAGTCGTGTAATTAAAACATTCGAACGATCAATCTTATGAGAACAAGATATATCGCTTTGAGATATACTTACTATAAATATGGATAACTTATCATATAAAGTTAAGTTTTATACCATAATCTTCAAACTGTATACGTCCAATCAAATACTTCCCAAAGCATGCCACTACTAATTATTGCCCTTCTACAGATACGACCAGCCCAAGATCAGCTGAAGGATGATCGTTTTTATAATAGAGGACGACAAAAAAGCATGAGGTTCTCTTGATGGAAGATGAAATACCACAGCCTATAGATGTATTATTGCTTTGGATATCCGTAAATCCACAGACAAAAAACGAAACGTGATTAACCTCCACGGTGTTCATCTGTGGGCTGTGGTTCGTGACCCGGGCGGAATTTTTCTATGTTCTTACCACCATCATATCCAGATTTCCAGACGAAGTCCAACATGTTTTAGTACAATAATTATAGATTGATTAGTGGGGATCGAACCAACGGCCCTTTAAAACGATTGGACGGTTGTAATATGTATAGTTATTTAAAAGTTTCTTATTTTTAATAACTCAGGCTTTGTCGAAGATCATTAGAAGACTCTTTTTGAAAACTCTAGTTAAAAGACTAATAATAAGTGATGAAATATTATAACGTTTAACATGAGACAATTTACAATTCCGATTATTATCTACTTTTTAAAGTGAAGTCAAAGTTTATCACTAACTCACAACATTTATTCTGATAATACATATGATACTTATTATTTATTGCGTTGTCCACAATGAAAAATGTTTAAAGCTCATCTCATTTTTTATTTCATCCGGTACGTTATACCCTAACGGACGGACATACAAATTTCATTAAATTTATTAATATTAATTATTATTCAGACATATTTCACTTTAAATTTGTTGGCATGGAAAAAGGGGTATATATTTTCGTACCAAATGATTTTATACTTATTGCTTTTCCATATTACAGAGAAAAATTATTTTACAATTCGAGCATCGTTTCTACTGCTAAGTATACAAATAATATTTTTCAGAGAAGCCTCTCGTCGCCTAAATTGACCATTCCGTTTCGTTTATGACAGATAGGAACCAGCAAGCTGGAAGTTTCTTTATTGAAATATGACCTAGCCCTATAACATCTAATTCAGATGTGAACTCCTATTTTAGTTTAAGACTTTTGAACTTCATGCGGGGTTTCGGCACAATGAAGTGGGTAGGG